TTGGGTATAAAGATGGTTTATTAAGAGGACTCTGGTGAAGAACATCACAGATCTCCAAGGACAAGGCACTAAATCCAGGCCAGACATATGGGCCTTGTGAAAGGACGGTAGCATTCCCAGGTCTCTGTTTCTTGTTGGAAGACGTCTCTAATTTTCCATCTCCACCTGCTTCATCTTTCTGCTTCTCTTGCTGAAGTTCCATCCTGTTTTTATTCTAGACTTTTCTGTGTGCCAGTGACTCCAGCTCTCATTAAGCACTGCCTTGCTCTAGAGCTGACTCTAGCTTTGATGGAACATGAATCTTTCTGTTTTATTTTTCAGCTAGTGCCATCAGGCAGGGACCACACTCTTGTTCATTGTTGTATTCTTGGTTCCTGGCACATAGTAGTACTTGATAATTATTTATTCTGAATTTTGTTAAGTGCCCACCATCACCTTTAAATTTTTTCTCTCAGTATTATGGTTCTAAATTCCCTGGAGAAAGAATCTGATTCAAGGTCTACCTTTGTTCAATACAAAGAGTGGAGGTTACACAGTCTCAGCCATGGCTAACTGGACTCACCTCTTCAGCAAGGTCTGCAGGTGGTGGACAGAGAGATGGGCAGGCACCCAACACCACATCTATTATAGTGCCTGTGGACACACTTGCCAGAACTAGAGCCACCACCTATCTCCTCAAGAAAGGGCTCACCATCCTTGGAAGCCTCTCTCTGAAACTCCTCCAGTCGCACACAGAATGTGAGATGACTATTCAGCCTCTACTGAGTTGATTGACCTGGAGTTTTCTCTGTTGAGGAGTACAGTGTGTCCCTCCCGGGGGGTGTGATTCAGAGAACCATGAGAAAACAAGGGTCATTTAAGGGTTTTCTCCACCTCTACCCCTCCAAGCCCTCATCTCCACATACTTTAGTGAGGTCTACAGACCTGCGTGGCCCATGCAAGGTCGCACCCCGAGGCTAAGGAGCAAAGGGAAGTGCTGGCGTTGCATCCCACTGCTCTGCTCACCTGGTGGGGTCGACCTGCCCATTCTGTCCCAACAGTGAAGGTGTTCCACCAGCCCATTTGCTCTGCCCTAACATGATTAGCATGCACAGACCCACACAGCAGGCCCAGCAGGCTGGACGTGCCCTGCAGCACATGCTGGCCAGCTAAAACTCTTCTTGGGGCTGCAGCACTTGGCCCCTGCTTCCCACTACTGACCACTGTGCCATAGATGAGCTGGTGTCCAGCATTGTCATTACTCCGGATGGAGGTGGGCGGGCTGAGGTCTCTAATCACCTGCTCGGCCTCGGTGAAGGAAGAACCCCCCAGAACATCTGCCTGTTTCTTGTTTCTTTAAGTGGATGTGCTCTTACTTTTTACCTTGTGTTAGCAACTTCTTCTCACGGACATGGAGAAAGAGGTACCCTGCTCCCATCAGTGTATCTGACACATTCCTCTGAGACCCCACTGACTGCCCCCCTCTGTTGCAAGGTTTACCTCGATCAGCACACCCCTCTATCTTGGAACTTGTCAGATCACACAGCAGCTGTCTGCATGCCCACTTCTCCCCCACACCCATCGTGACAGGAGCATTTAGAGCAGAAGGGACTCGCAGCGTGCCTACAGTTCCAGGCCCCTCACGGTGGCTGGCATGGGGTGAGCCACTCAATAACATGCTCAGTAGGTGAAGGCAGGCTCCCAGCTCAGTGAGAAGCAAACTTACTCAGGTGAGAAGACTTGGGATTGAGTTTCAGCCTTGATGCTTACAATTTCTAAGACCTTGAGGAGTCACTGATTCACTGATATGTCATTACCAACTATTCGACTCACCTATACCCAGGGCTTACATTCAGATGATATGGCTATTCCAGTTATTAAAATATTACAACACTTTCATACCAGCTGGTGAACAGTCTTCACCCATTCCCCTGTGTGCTATCCTAACTACCTTCAGTCCTCCCTGGGAACCCCCAGATCTCCCCTTGATAGCAGCCAAAGGGCTAATTCACCTGGGGTGGCCTGGAGAACCCTACTTTGGCACTAAGCCTGGCACTTCTGATTAGTCAGCACCCTCATGTCATACCAGCTGGTAAATATTCTATCTCCCCTTATTCTACCATAGGTTGGCTATGTCACCAAATGATACAGTTCACATGAAAACACTGTGCAAGCTGTAGAGGGCTGCAGAGACATAGGGCCTGCCCATAATTCCCAGGGAGGGCTCAGAGCTGTAAAGGCGGAGAGGAGCCTGTTTCTGAGTGGTAGCTCACCCTCTACTTAAGTAAAGGCTGAGGAAGGACTTGGTGGGGAAGGGAGGACTTGTGAGCTGCCTGAAAAGAACCCATACAAAGTTCAGGTGGATCCCAGAATGGCGAAAGGGAGTGGGCCTCCCAAAGCATCCTTAAAAGGACTTGTCCATCTTCCCTGCAGCAGCCTGCAATCCAATTTACAGCTCTTTTAACCACACACACCATCAGCTGCACTCTCCCTGTCTGTCACTATCGCTCACAATTAGAAGCTCATTTGACTCCAAGTTTCGCAGGTACCCCACCACCACCACCCCAGGTAGGACAAGAGCTGCTGGGAAGTGAAGGGCAGAAGGAGAGCAGGCTCACTAGAATGAGGGTTTGCACAATCTGGTATTTATGGAAAATTGGATGTGCTAATGAATCTGAGATCCGGCAGGGCTTTCTGAAGGCAGGATGGTCTCCGCCAACAGACCAATTAGCACATGATTATTTTGCATTTCTGGAAGCTTATCTGAGACATTCTTTGAACGTGTGCACCTGCATGAAATGCCCTGGCCATTACCTCTATGGCCCCTTTATAATCTGCCAAGCTGTCTGCCTTGTCTATGGAGAAAGGCCCCGGATACACTGACCCAGTCCTCCAGAGCTCCTGGGACTTGGGAGACGGGAGCCCAGGCCATCCTGCTTCTCAAGACAGTGCTCAGGAAATCTCTGCAGAGCACCCTGTCCAGCAACCTTTCTCCTTCCCACTCCTTCCTTCTCCAGTGAGGACAGAGGTGGCTCGGCACACAAGAGCAGCAGAATGAGCCAGGACTTCGGGCTCTAGCGAGACCGGAGCAGGCCTCCCTCGCTCACGGAGATGGCTTGGATCCTTCCCTGAGCAGGAAGTGAGCATGGCAACCATGGTCTTGGTGTCGGCCACACTCCATTCTTGTGCCACAATTGAGAAAGTGAAGCTATTCACACCCTAACAGTGACTTATCTAATTTAACTGATTGTCCTCTTGTGGAATGACCTTTGGAAATAGCAAAGCAAAGGTCAGAAAACAGCATCTGGCTGGCCCCAGAATGCTGATCACGACGTGGGCCTGTGGAAGGAGATGGATTGCTGGCATGTAGATATGGGCAGTGGTGGAACGAAGGAGAGGAAAGAGGCTCTTCTCTCTTCTGTAGCTTGGGGATCATCCTACTCGTCTGGAACACATGTAGCTCCTCCCTGTCTGGGCCTGATGGTGGTGAGAGACCAACTCAGGGGTGGGCGGATGGAAAAGCCAGCGCAGAACTCAGTGACGTTGTAGTGGCCAGCTTACCCAGAGACAGGACAGGCACGACTCCCAAATACCGTTCCCACCATCCCATCCCATTCTAAGAGGGCAGGCTTCCTCAGAAGTGCTGGGCTAGTCCTTGGCTGTGGCTCTTCCTACAGGGATTTTTATACTGTATAAAGACACCTCTCCCTTGAAATAAGCCTGGCTCTGCCTTCCCACTGCAGTCTGACAACTAACTAATCACCCACTCACTCAACACAGAGCCGTATTCAGCACCTCATGCCCACCTGTGGAGGGAGGCAGGCCCATGTGTAACAGCCTGAACACGGAGTCATAAAAACATGTTTCCACTTGTCTGCAGACTCCTTATGGCAACGATGGGGTCTTACTCACTGTGAGTTCTGGATGCTTCTTGAATATGTGTTAAGTGAATACATGAGTGAATGAAAGAACAAATGAATGAGTCAAAAGAACCCTGGCCTGCCAGTGACCAGCCGTGTAACCTTGAATAAGTCATTCAACCTACCCAGCCTTGTTTCCTCATCTGTAATATTAGGATAATACAATCTCAAATCTATACAATTTCTTTTTGCCCATGTCCACATTCCAAGGACAGGGGAGATCCCTGCAGTATTTTGGATGAATTGGTCTGTTCATACATGTTTTTAAGAGTGATGTCATCTAAAGGGGTGTAACTCACTGTATTTTCTGCAGGGCTTGGATGTGACCTCACAGGAAACACGCAGAGCATTGCACTGGAGTCTGAGGGCTCAAAAGTTAAAATCCTGTGTCAACAGCACGGGTCTTGGGAACTTTAACTCTCTGAACCTTGGTGTCCCTCTTTAGTGAGTGAGAGGAGTGAGATTTGTTTCAGAGTGTCTGTGAAGGTTGAACGGGATGGTCTTGGAGGATGAACTTGCAAACGAGAGACTGATCCTGCCCCGCCATGGCCTCGGTCCCACTGCTCATTCCGGCTGCGTCTTGCTACTTCTCTTCACTATGTCTGTTGCTGCCCTTTGGTCTCTATCTGCAATTACCTCTTTTTCTCTCTGTTCTCTCCTTCTTTTCTCCTATCCCTATGGATAGGAAATTCTTCGTTTATGGCTCACCTCCTCCATGAAGCCTTCTCAGATTACTTTAAGCTTCAAGGATCTCTCCTGACTCTTTTTCTACTGTATTATAGTCAGTATCATACCACCTCTCACTTAATTACTCTGTTCCATGTGTATCTTTTAAGATTAAGTATACTAAATTCTCTTTAAAGATGTCATTTACACTTTCATACTCACCATGGTAGCCAGCAGGGTGCTAGACACACACAGTACACACTTCCGAGCCCCCGAGTTACAGATCATACCGCTCCTTCTTTTTCTCAGAGCAGTTTCTCTCCCTTCCCTTCTGCCCACTTCCTGCTTGTTTTTAAGGACCAGCTCAGTTGGTGTTTCCTCTGCTACTTCTTGTTTGCCCTTTGTTTAGGGCTGTGTTTTCCTCATGCTCATTAGGAAATCTTGCTTCTCCTCGAATTGGATGTGCAGTCGGTCGTGCATGCACCTACCTGCCCCAGGTATGTTCTCCTGGACAACACACTACGTAACTTGTGCATCTCGTGCCCTCCTCTCCACGCCCAAAGCCTGGAACATATCACTCACATGTTCTCTAACTTATTGAATACCCACTATGTGCCAGATACTGTGATAACTGCTATTGACAGTAATGGAAACCAAAATAAATAGGAACTTACCTCTGTGGAGCCTTTAGCGTGTGAAAGACCCAGACTTTAACCAGATACTCACAGAAAAGGATGGAAAATTGCAACTCATACAGCTGCTGCAGGGCAGAGGTGCCTGGAGCTAGGATAGAAAGTCAGAGGTATCAGGGCAGACTTCCTTGAGAAACTCTGGAAAAGGCGCTCTATAAATGTTTGATGAATTGTATGAAATTGAACAGTGGCTGCTCAATAAATACTTGCTGATTGGTTGATTTATTGTTGGCAAAGCTTCAGACCCTGAGAAAAAAGGGCCTCGGGTCTCCATCATTCTTATTACATAATTATTTCAGTGCATTTAAAGCTCCCCATTTTTCATCTTATACTTTAAACATCAGGGAAAAACTGATAGGCCAACTTTATAATATTTTTAAATGATTCTATGATGTTTTGGAATATTACATGGCTGCAAGAGTTTATGTATATTTAATATACTTATTAAAATATGCAGTGAGCCCCTGGCTGATTTTCTCTAAGGATGTCTCAGTGCCGAGGTGGGACTTAAATGTTTAAAACTAATAATAATACTCATAACTCATATTTCTCTAGTGCTTTTCATCTTCAGGTTCCCTAAAGCCTGTGAGCACCACATCAAGTGGGTGCCGCTGGGCTTGCTAGCAGGCCGACAGGGTGCACATCTCACCTCCTGTCCTCCTCTGGGAGAGGAGAAGGGGGGACTCCAGCTTTGAGGTCCAGCTCCCTCTGCCTACGTGGAATTTTCTCTTCCCAGACACAAATCCCCTGTGGCTCCTTCTGAAAGGTCTCCACTTAAGTAGAGCAGCTGCTGCCAGCCCTTCACCACTGACACTGTCTTAGAGCAAGGAAGAGAGGTGGCTCCATGCGCCTGGAGTAGGGAACCACATGCCTTCCTTTGGCTACTCAACAACAGGACCCAGGGCCTGAGACTGGATGACTGGAGAGGGAGGTGCACAGGGCAAGTCTCTGATGGTCACCTAAATGCACCCCCTGCCCTTCCTTCTCTAGGTCACGGAGACCAGGACTGGCCCTCTGGGCTGCAGCAATTATGACAATCTGGACTCAGTCAGCTCTGTCCTGGTACAGAGTCCGGAGAACAAAGTGCAGTTACTTGGTAAGTGACCCCGTGATGACTTTCGCACTTTTCGTATCAGGTGAAAACCTTGGCAGACCTAGGAGCAGAAGAAGTCCTGTCCGCCCCCTTGGCTAAGCTTTCCTTAAGACAACTACCATGAGTTCTGAGACCTATGTTTAACTCTCCATCATTCTTTTGAGAAAACTACTGACACCGTTCACCCAAGACCATAGCTCATACCTGTCACCCACATCCTTCCACCTCATAGTCCTTCCTAGACCCTCTGTCACTATCCCACAAGGACAGTGCATCCACCCTGACATGTCTTGATCTAGTTTGATGGTCTTTATGGCCTAATGAACCCTCTGCTTTATCCTAAGGACACACCGAGCACAGCTTGCCTTTACAGAGTGGCTATGCGGCCACCATCTCTAGCTCAACTGAGAGCTGTGCAAACTGTGAGACCATTGGTTACCCCGAGAATGATCCCAACTTCATGTTAATAGTCTGCAACCCTCCATGGGAGATAAAAGCCAGGAGAAGAGTTTGAGAGGAATGGGGGCCTCAGCTGGAGACAGAAAAAGGCAAAAAAAAAAAAAAAAAGGCAAGTGAAAGGACAGGGAATGACACAGGTCTGGAGGCTGGCAGGTAAGGGAGGCACTCAGGCCCTGCTCTCCATCCCCCAAGCATCCTGGGGACAGGGGGATGCAAACTGAATTCAGACAGAGCTGTTAAGGCCTAACTGAACTGGACTCTGTTTAAGATACCGTCTTAGTATTACAAAATCAATAGCTCTCACCCAGGATCTATGATTACAAATTCCAGGCAACCTGAGCCAGATGTAATCCATCAATGCTTTAAGAATCAAGGAATATATAATAAAAAGGAGTAAAAGACTCCTCTACTTAGAGCCACCTGAATGCAGTTAGCATCCCCTTCTCCTGTGCCCCTGGCTGGGCTAGGTGTGTGTCTGGAAATTAGCGATGAGTGAAGTTCTGAATGTGGGTGGTTCATTTGGAATAGTTTATGCCATTTAATTTTATAGCCCATCATTCATGCCAACATTGCTTGGGGCACTTATTTTATAGCAATGGGAAATGTTATGGTGAGGAGGAGGGCGGTAACGGGGGAGTGAAAAGAAAGCACTTGGAAAGGAGGGAGGGTTGAAAGCAAGCGTGTGGACAGGGTGTGGGGGGGGGACAGTTCGAGCACCACTGGGGGCACAGCATCAAGTCAGGAGCATTTGGGAGCAGTTCATAATAGAACGAAGATGTCCAGCAAGAATGACAGTCACTGCTGTTGCAATTCTAAGTTAAATTCTGAGGTCTGCTGAGCCTGGGATACATCCTTTAGGGCTGATTTCCCATGAAGGACAAGGTCAAGGGTGTGAAAATAAAGAACTGGCAGATACTTGAGGAAAGGGGAGCTCATCCTATCCAGGAGTCCTGGCATCCCATACGCTCCTGGCGCAGTGTCTCACCAAGTCCTGGCATGGAGAGCCTCTTGCAGGTCTGACCTTGAACCTGGCCCAGGCTGCGTCCAAAGGCTTGCCTACCCTTCGTTCACCTTTTGACATGCTTCTAACAGCCACTCTGCTGGGCTTGAGGCTACCTAGGAGTATATTCTGCTACTAGGAAACTCATGTCCACCACAGATGGGTAGGAAAACTGAAGCTTGGGGCAGTTTAATGGATTATATCCAAGATCAGAGGCAGCTAACTAGAAAATTGAACTGAGAGCCATGCATATCTATCCAGGCTTGACTGAACTTACATTATCCACCACCATTACTTTCAAATCTACTTAAGAGTTAAATCATATTGAGATGGGGCAGCCCCAGTTATGCAGTATGATTGGACAGGACAAGGACAGAGTCTCACACCAAGCCATTTGTGATATTCCTGTGACTTGAAAAGCGGCAATAATGATGACCAGTGTTACTTGCGACCATCTATGGAAAGTCCTTGGTGTCGTGGTCCCTACCCACCCAGACTACCTGTCCTTACCTCCTAGCCAGGGCAGCCTCCTTGATCGTCAGGGCTAGGGTGGAAGGCCCAGGAGGGTCAGCATTCAGTAACATCCTAGGATGCCTGCTGCTAATCTCAGTGAAGCTAGAAACAGGATGGCTACTGGAGGCACAGCAAAAAGCCCATCAAGCCTTGATTCCTCCCCATGAGGGCTATCAGCTCTTCTTTTATCTGAAACATCTTCCTGTTTCCATCCTAGAAATGCTGATTCTAGCCAGTAAACCTGTTCATATGATATGTACACTCTCAAGTCTGGCTGATGTGAGAGGTGTGACTAAGCCTTGGGCTTTGATGTTCCTCATCTGCATTTTCAGATCCTCCCCCATCTGTCACTGGTGCAGCAGTAGCCCTCTCTCCCTACTAGTCAGCAGCGTCAGGCCCTGAGGTGACCACTCTTGGGCCCAGGATGCACAAATCAACAGAAGCCCAGCTGGGGATCCTGCAGCCCTGGGTGTGGGGACCAGGCCCTGCTGGGATCCTGCAGCCCTGGGTGTGGGGACCAGGCCCTGCTGGGCCTGCTGGGCCAGCCCCTGACATGTCCTGTCCCTAGGCCTGCAGGTGCTGCTGCCAGAGTACCTGCGTGAGCGCTTTGTGGCCGCCGCGCTCAGCTACATCACGTGCAGCTCTGAGGGTGAGCTCATCTGCAAGGAGAATGACTGTTGGTGCAAGTGCAGCCCCACCTTCCCAGAATGCAACTGTCCTGATGCAGACATCCAGGCCATGGAGGACAGCCTGCTGCAGATCCAGGACTCCTGGGCAACTCACAACCGGCAGTTCGAAGAGTCAGGTGAGCAGTCCACCAGCCCAGATCTCTTCCTTGGCAATGGAAGGTGGCTGCGAGGTGCAGCACCACAATGTGGGGACTCAGTTTGGATCCTAGCTTAGCTGCTTGCAGTCTGTCTGACCTCCAGAAGCTCGTATTACCACCCCAAGTCTAGGTTGCTTTCTCTTGTGTATGCAAATGGGTATAACACCTACCAAAGAGATGGGTTTTCAGGACCTAATAAGCTAAGGTATCCAGGGCACAGGCCTGTCTGTCTTGTGTTCCACAGACACCCCAGTGCCTGCACAGAAGGCGCACAGTACTTTTGAATGAGGTACACAGAATAGTTCTAGAAGGCACCTAGTACATTGTTTGTTGCAGGAATGACCAACATCAATGTTACCTTGTAACCTAAATTCAAAGGACTTGATTTTGAATCTTTGCTCTGTGTTATAGTTTGAATGTCTTTGTCCCCCCACAATTGTTATGTTGAAAATCTAATGCCAAAGGGGATGCTATGAGGAGGTAAGGCCTTTGGGAGGTGATTCGGCCATGAGGGTAGATGGGATTAGTGCTCTTATAAAAGAGACCCCAGAGAGCTCCCTTGCCCCTTCTGCCATGTGAAGACACAGTGAGAGGTTGACTACCTGCAGCCTGGAAAAGGTTGGCTATGACATTGGCCTTCACCAGAACTTGGCTACACTGGCACCTGACCTTGGGCTTTCAGCCTCTAGATCTGTGAGAAATAGGCTGTCTGCTCTGGTATTTTGTTACTGTAGTCTAGACAAAGACACTGTTCCTGACCAGCTTTAAGACTTTGTATTAGCCATGCGGCTTTTCAAAGCCTCCGTTTTCTCATCTGAGAAAGAGGGAAAGTGATAATAGGTGGATGGAAGGCTTATATGTAATAATGTAGAGACAATTAATATATAAAGAACTCTGCATGGTATATTCATATGATGAATATATTCAATACTAAGTGAATGATAGTTAGAT